TTCAGCTCCCAACTCTTTGAAGAACTGTGGAAAGTGGAGGACTTTTACACATGTGCTTTTGGGTTTAGACTAGTGCTGTGTACTTTTACAACACATCATTTCTAAAATAGATGTTCCTCGCACAACAACAGGACGCCTGTATACAGTTCAGGAGTGTTACACCAAAACATCTGTTGGTTTCCTCAAAGAGTTCAAATAATTTACAATAGTTGAGTAATTAAATCAAGCATTTTGTTGAGTTTAAGCTGTGTGTCAATTATTCAGAGTGTTTTTTTTAGCTTCTGAAAGTGTCTTCATAGTCCCTGAATGAAAAAAATATATATAATTTTGCAAAAATAAGGCAGAACACCATCATCAATTTTGGATATGTTAAAAACAGACATGTAGTCTTTCTAAAACAGTCCATTTGATGTTGGTGGCTGCTATCATTTTCTTTTGGTATAACATGGTAAAGATGGCACCAAATTTATTTTTTCCACTTTTAACACTTAATATCTTGTAGAGTTTTCATCACAGAGGCTCAGTTTTAAAATACAAAGTACACAGTGTGTGTTTGAAGGTGTATGTTCAATATCAAACCTCTGTTTTTGAAATTGCACTTTTCACAGTCCTTCAAAGATGCCCTCAAATTTGAAGAGGAGAATTTTCGAGCAAATTCAAGCCCCAGAAATCTGTGATAAACTAAAAGCACATGTGTAAAAGTTCAGATTCTACAAGTACATTTGCCAGATTTTAACCCATGAAAATCTGAAGGACCTTAAATAGTTTTTTAGATACTCAGAAAACTCTGCTCAAAACAGGTCAAGACAGAGTTGACAAAACATATTTGAATGACAAAACTATAAGGAGTTGGGAGCTAAAATTTGGGACTTTTCCTGTTGGAAAGTGTGTGAACCTCCTAGAATTTATTTCAGTCAAATCTGAGATGTTCGGACGGGGGCATTTGGAGATTTGTGGTGGAATGACCCAAAGGCATTTACAGAGAATTTAGAACTTAGGGGAGGGGGGCACCTGTTAGGAGCGGCCGCCGTCACCACCAACTCCACACAGCACCTTGAATCCAGATTCCACAATTAACACATTAGGACAAGTTTTTAACAGCACACATTCTCAGAAAAGTTTAGGTTAGTTTCTGTATATATTTTAGTCTGTTTTGTTTGGTTTACCTTTTACATTCCTGTTAATTAAACATTATTTAATTTGTTCCATTATCCATCTTGGCTCTTTTGTTATTTCCCCTGTCCCTAGTGGAGCTGGGTCGTAACACCACTGTGTCGCCATTATCAAACCATTATTAAAGTGTCATAGCCTAGTTATTTCCAGATTTCTTTTGCGTGTCCTTTTGGGGGTCAAATATGCTTCATATTCACAGCAGTTGGACATCGTGAGAAACAAAAAACAAACAAAAAAGCCTTGTGTCGATAAAAGACTGTATGGACAGAAGGCACTCAGAGAATAAACTTCAAAGCAGCTCTGCTTGTACAAGTCTCTCCATGGCCGAGCACCAAAGTCCATCTGTGACATGTTAGGACTAGACCAAGAGTGAAATGTGATTAGACCAGGATTAAACCAGGACTAGACTCATGTTATGCTTCTCAAAAGCTAACTGGGATCTGTCTGTCTTCACACCTTTTAATCTTGTATTTTTATTGTTCAAAAATAGTTTGGAAAAACAGTGACCAGGAATTTGGGAACAGATAAGCTGAGAGAAATGTTCTTAAAGGACCCACTATTTTCTGATCTGTTAGAATGTTTCTCATCACAAACAGACCTGGGTCGTGTTTTGTTTCATTCACATGTTTAACACACAAATCCTGCACATTCAGCCTGAGTTCTCCTCTCCAACAGAAATATAGGAAGTGCTCTACTGTGTTTTTAAACTCTATACACCTTCACTAGAATCATTCTGACTGTTCCAGGTTTGTTTTTGAGGAGGTAACAACATTATAAAGTGTCTTAAAGCTCACAAGAGTCCATTTTGTGTAATATAAGACTTTTAATCTACTTTTTTTTTTTTTTACTTTTACACAACTACTCTTCTACTTGAGTAAACTGTATGGTTACTCTACTCAACCTCAAATAACATTTTTTTTTTAAAAAAACAAAATTATACTTGCAGGTCCCAGTGCTCTGTTGTGGCTGCTGCTGACCCCTGTCACCATGGTGATGACCTCTGTGCTGCTGTTACTGATCTGCAGACAGAAGAAGCACAAAACACAATAATATAATACAAACATTTCAGCACTAACTTTGTTTTTTATGAGTTTTACAGAACAGGAAGGAAACTGTGGTGAAATTAAGATGTACCAAAACAAAGCCAGCACATTTCTGACATTATATTTTGTAACTAGAGGATCTAAGTATAATTTATTTGTATTTTTATGTTGGGAAATACATAGACTGCTGCTCCACAGACTGCACTTACCAGAACCTCCATGTTTTATTTAGTGATTATTTTAATAGATCCACGCTCCATGTGGACACTAAGGCAAAACAAAACCTACAGCGTCATCTGCCGCTGAACTGAGCTCACACTGCCCCCTGGTGGATTTATCGACACAAAACAACCTGAGTGCACGTTCTGTTTAAACAAAACTACAAATGCTCTCAGGCTTCAATGTCTTTCTAAATCAAATTCTGCTGAAATATCCTGGCTAGAATTTCCACTTTGAATGAGAGTTCTAATGTTTTAGGTGCATTTAGTTTGCAGTACTTTTCCTTTATGCAGTTGATACTTTGCAGTGTCAAAAAAAAAAAAGTCAAAAAAGCTTTAAGATGGTCTGAAAATAAAAATACAAAGTTGATTTTAACAACACATTTTCAGACACCAGTACAAAGTTCATGGTTCTGTTTAGGTGTTTGATTTTCCACAAAAAAAAGATGAGAGTGACAAAAAATAATAATATAAAACTGTGGGCTAATGTTATCTTGTGACTGTAATGTTATTAGAGAGGGATTTGTTTATCTGCATCTCACCTGTTGTAGTTCCGACCAAGTCAGCTCTTTCTGGTCAGACTGTGTTAAAAATAAAGCTCAGATTAAAGTCTAACATGAATAACGGAGCTTCAGACAGAGCAGAGCCTACAGTTAGCTTCACACCTCCAGGGAAAGTTGAAGACACCATCTGCAAAGTATCAACACTTCACTATATGGAATAAAGTTTATATAACAACTTTTTTTTTTTTTTTTTTTTTTGGTCCTGCTGCCCTCTGTTGGTTTGTTGTGTTTTTTTCTGGGGTTTGTTGGTTTTATTGATAACTGTTCTGAACATGTCAACAAGGTAAATACACTTTACTGCATTGTCTTTAAAAAGAACCCAACAAGTTGAAGTATATATAAGAAGACAAAATGAACATCATTGGCTGGTTGTCAGTGAAAGTTGCTGATACTGTTGTTATTCTATTAGTAGTAGATCACTGGGAATGATGATGATTATTTATTATTCTAAAAGTTGTTCATGAACTCTGTGGTCTTTTTTATGTCCACCTGGGTTAAAACAGATCAACATTCAAATCCCCACAGACAATGTGTGTCTTATTTCCAGTTGAATGGAACACATGAGATAGAAATGTATTAAAAGTATCCAGTGAAGAAGCAGGAGTTCTGTACATACAACAAACTCTTTTCCATCTGAATCTCAACAGTGACACATTCTAATAAGTTGTCAGTTGTAGTTGACACACTTGTGATGACATTCCATTGTAAATGAGAGTCTACGTAAATGTCAACTCCACCTTCTCTCCTGTCTTTTCTGTTGGTTACAAATAATTCACATCCCTCCAGTTCTACATCGAATCATTTGTCTTTGTCCAACCATGTTTCAGAGACAGCAGCTGCACTAAACTCTGCAAATAGATAAATAAATAAATAAATAAATAAATAAATAACTAGTCTTTGATTTATGAAAAGTTGTCCCATAGACTTCTGTGTTTCTGAAAAGGCATGTTCCATGTCCACTGTACTTTTAAACTGTTCTTCTGTACAGTACTGACAATACAAATATGGATCTGGGTCTATATCTCTTTCTATATCATATCTACTATCATCTATATCTAGATGATTTAAATGATCATCTTCCATATCGTTTATGTTCTCTGTACTATCAAGTATCGACATTTAAGACTCTACAGGTTTTTTCTCCATATGTGGCAGAAGATCTTCCACAGGTAACACAGCAAGACCTTCCAGAGGAAATATTTGGGTGTCCATACTTCAGACTCTACCCCTGCAGACTATTATGCCCTGATGAAGACCACCTTGCTGGTTGAAATGCTTTGGCGTCCGTCCATGTGATAAAGGACTTTTAATATATTCAGTTGGAGTGACTCGGGTTTGTACTTTGTCCACCTTTACATTTTCCAGTAAGAGCAACATTCTATTAAGAATACAAGTTTAACCCTCGTAAAGTTCCTGTTCTGCTGTTTTTGACTTTTTTATGACCCAGTGAAACGCTTTACCTCTTTTCTTCATCTCCCCCTGCAGAGTTTGGTGTTTGTAAATGTGTATGTGAAATTGCAGTGGCCACACAAAGCACACAGCACCTCAAATCTTTATGTATTTTTTAAGCAAAATGCAACTAAAAATGTGACTACTTTGTGTTAAAATTGCCAGAAAGATAGACAATGTGATTAAAACAGCACATAAACAGTGTCGTAACAAAAAATCTGATTTATAGGATGATGTTTTTACTGAATAAAACTTCACATTGAAACAGAGAGTTGCAGGTTTCTTATTGAGCTTCTGCAGTTTTGTTGTGATGGGGATTTACAGTTAAACAAGAATTCCATTAATTTAAATGAAAAGAAAAGCAGGTTGATTTTGTTAATTTATCAACGTACATGTACACAATTTCTCTGGGGCCCTGTAGTCTTTATAGAACTTATTTTCTGTGTAGATCTGCAAGAGGATTAAAGTATCTCAACACTTTACTCTCCCCATCCTCTTCCCCCGCTCTCATTTCTCCTCCTCCTCCCTCCTCCTCCTTCTCTCTGGTGTGTTGTTTATAAGCGTCCCTCCCTCCCTCCGTCCCTCACACTGCAGTACATTTGCTGTACACTGGGACAACATGCTGTGGAGTCTGTACACTCTGGCCTGTGCTCTCACATGTAAGGAGGCTGCTCTTTGCTGCTCTCTGCTCACTCCGCCTCTCTCCTCACTTCTGCTCTTCTTCTTGTTTCCAGGTGTGAGTGCTGTGACGCAGGTGACCCAGAACCCTCCTGATGTGAGTGTGGAGAGAGGACAGAGCGTCTCCATGGACTGTAACCTGGGATATGTGGAGGATAGTGCAGCCCGTTGGTACAAACAGTCTCCAGGACAAGTTCCACAGTTTCTCTTGTATCATCACCATTCATATAGCGCTCCAACCTACGGCTCTGGTGTGTCCTCCTCTAAATTCAAATGTACTCATCAGTCTAAAAGAGATTATCGTTTGACCATCAACAGTTTGGAACAATCAGATTCTGCAGTTTATTACTGTAGCACATGGGACAGCACTGTTAACGAGTGGGTATCACAGTGATATAGAGTGTGACAAAAACCTCAGTTCCTCTTCTGCTGCTTCTCTGAGGCTCAGAGCGTCAGTCTCTTGGCCCCTGTCCTCTCCTCACAGCTCCATCATGGTCCCCAGTGTCCTCCTGGTGTCCACCTCAGCTCTTGGTCTGGACTAGAGGGACACTGATGAAGGCGGTGGACATGCGCTGAGTGTCCACAGGAAGTGTGAGTGTCTCTGTCCTCATCAGAGACAGTGGGGAGGTTTTTGTAGCAGCGTGTGCACACACTGAAGCACTGTGGTATTCGGAGCAGGCACCAGGCTCTCTGTCACAGGTAAGACACTTGACACTTTACTTTGAACATGATACTCCACAAACATCTGTGCAATGTCAACTACACAATGGACCTACAAGATTTGACACAAGACTTATTTTGACCATTTGGAAAACTTTAACACATTACACTAGTTATGTCTTTATTCATGCTGAAAATACATTAATTTAATCACACATGAATTATTTTTAAACTTACCTATTGATTTCTTTATATCCTATATTTGTTAATTTTCTTTATTTATTTGGATCTCCATTAGCGCTCACCAAATTGTGAGCTGCTTATCCTGTTGTCTTATTCAAAAATACTAATACAATCAGTTTCCACTAAACATTTGAAATACATTTGACATGTATAAATAACCATTATGTCTCTAAAAACACTGAAGCCTCCATTAGAAAACATTTCTTCAAGAGTCTTTTAAAGGAGCTGAATTAGAAGCTTCAGTAACAGTTGGAGACAATTGCTATTAGTAAAAAATACATTGTAATGTAATTTTCCAGAAATTTATAATGTAATTCTTGTATTTTTAAAACTCTATCATCATAAAATTCTTAGTTAATAGTCCTGAGTTACATTTCTACACTAAGTTGAGTTGATTTTTAGAAGAAATGTCTGGACACATCCAACTCTTCACCCACACATGAGGATTAGTGTTTGGACAGAACTGTATTCTTACTTGAGTAAAAGTTTTGGTCCCACTGTCACTGAGTGTCACAAGTAAATGTTGACAATATAAAATGAATGAACATTTGTGTTTCATGCACTTTACTTTTTAAAAACATGTCTTTTTCCCAGTGTTAAGGTTGATTTGTATGTGTTTGTAGTTGTCAGTGGGACACACATGTGTCGCTCCTCATATGGACAGGTAATAGTCCTGTATCTCCCTGCAGAGTAAAGTGAGTTTGTGCTCTGTTTCAGATGCCTCTCGTCCTCCTCCAGTGGTGACAGTGTTCCCTCCGTCCCCCGCACAGCTCCAGTCCCACACAGTCACTCTGCTCTGTGTCTCTGCTCAGTCGGGGCCCTGGGCTCAGGTGAGCTGGTTGGCTGATGGGAGTCCAGTGAGCAGTGGGGTGTGGAGCAGCGGGGCCGTCCTGGGAGCAGAGCAGACTTTTCACGTGAGCAGCTCTCTGTCCATCCCCACGTCCCACTGGACCTGCAGCCAGAAGCTGTACACATGCAGAGTGTCCCTGGGCCCTCAGACACAGCCTGCCCAGGACACCATCAGGAGTGGTGTGTGTGACTCACACTAGTACAGCACCACTGACACCTGCACTGTGCTCCTGTGTGCTCCTCCAAAGTCTCCACTGTCAAAGCCTCTGAACACAGCATCACATCTGGGAAGGATACATCACATTTCTGCTTTGTTGTCAACAATGTAGATGTGAATTTCAAAAATAAATCTTGCATGAAAAAAGTGACGTTGTTTTCTTGAACACAATATTTAAGATGATAATTCTGCCTTTATAAGTTTTAGAGAAACTAATTCTTTTTGTTAGTGGGTTGTAAAATACAAGGACTTTGAAGTTCCTTTGTGGTCGGAGCAAAATGTCTCATGAAACCACACCTAAGTTTATCTCATTTAAATATAATTTAACAGAGATTTGTACAGGGTCAAAGTTCAGCCCAAAGAGCTGTGCTGCATCTTTCCCATTCAGATGCTGCTCCGCTGTAGGGTAAGGCCAGAGTCACACTGCACACACATTTCACCTTATGCATCAACTGCAGGTTTTGGATCAGTTTTTGTTTCTTATTTATTATTAAAAGTGAAAGAGAAGTGACACAGCACACACACAAGGCCACATAGGAAACAACATTTCAGAAAATAGAACACTATTATTTTTGGACACTTGACATGAGTGTAGGGTCAATATTGTTGGTGTGGTTATATTTCATTTGAAGAAGCGCAGGTTCAGAAAGACTCATTTATGCCTTTAAATGTTTTCTCTTTTGAAAACTTTGCATTTGCCGAGGTCAGTCTGTACAGACTTTAAATACAAGCTTATTTAGTTCTTTGTTTATTGCAGGAACTTATCTTGAAGTGAGGAGCACAGGCTGTAAACCAATCAGAACAATCACTAACACTGAAAAATAACAGACCAGGAAGACTTCGAGTATCTTGAGTACTATACACATCTCATATTATTATTATTATTATTATTATGAATGAAGAAAGTGTTTAAATATGTCAAATTCCAATAAATTTAACCAACTATGGGCCCAAAGCCTGAACCTTAAAGTGTCTGAAAAACTCACAGCTCACACTTTGAAGTCATGTAACTGGGGAAGGAGATCTCGGACACTGGGATGATGAGCAGAGGACTCTACAGGTCTGTGGACTTTCCACCCTGCTCTTCTCCTGTACACTGCTGCACCTCCAGTTGTACGGACCATCAAGTTTGAGAACGACACCACGCTTCATCAAGCTCATCTCAGACAGCGTCTGCTGCAGGAGGGAGGTGGTGCGGCTGGTGACCTGTTACCGTGGCAACAATAGCTATAACCTCAATAACATCACATTACATTGTGATACTGACTTCAAGTTAGTGTTTGGAGCCTTATTAAAGGTACAGTGACTCTGTCAAAGTTGTGTAAAATGCTCCATCTGAAGGACTCTATTGACTGTACTGAGCACTGGTCTGTGGGCCTCTGCTTCAAACATGTTTGACTGTGTGGCGTCTATAGT